ATAATGGTGAAATGAGTGTTTGTCAGTTTAATAAGAATCTACAAGCATGCGTTGCAATGCTTCTTTTTTAACCGACGTCTAAAAGGAGGAGGTACTGAATTCGAGTTTTTTTTTATAAGATAGGGTGACAAACGAGCACACAGCACACCTGATGGTAAGTGGATACTGTGACCCATAGACATCTATATCTATCCTCAATAAAGACTCAAGATGCAGATGCGTTGTCACCCGTGAGGACTAAGATGGAATGCCTCTTTGCCAGTAAAAAGGGTCTCCGGTTCTCTACACTCACCATACGAAACACAGCAGGGTTAAGCTGCTATTTTACGCTGGTTTTCTGTGAGAGCGTGGTCCTTCCCCGGTCGAGCCGACCCATTCGTGCTACAACTATACTACTAATATAGCTGCAGCATGGCTCTACCACGTAAAAAATTTTTAAAGAAAATTTTATGTGTAATTCTTTTTTTTATTTGAAAGCTGGTGTTTCTCATAGTTTTTGAGTGTTCCTTAACAATTTATATTGAAGTCGGTTGTACACATTTTTTAATTATACAGCTTGTTAGAAGTATAGCGGATGCGCGCAACTCGTCAAATTACATTTTACGCGGTAGAGCCATGCTGCAGCTGTATTATGGTTGTAACACGAATGCGGCTGATCAACCGGGGAAAGACCACGCTCCCACAGAATATCAGCTTAAAATAGCAGCTCAGTGCTGCTGTGTTTCGTATGTTGAGTGTAGAGAACCTGAACCTGGTGACGACAAATGCAAATGGACTGTGTGCTCGTTTGTCACTCTTATTCTATAAAAAAAAAGTTTTATCGTAATCAGAGGAATGGTATAAAAAGGCAATGAAATATTATTTTTTCTAACGAATTCAAAAAGGAGACGGTACTCAATTCGACTGTATGTTTTTTTTATGTGTGTTACTTCTGTAACTTTTTAAACCGAACCGAATGATTGACCGAACTTCGATGATTCTTGTTTTTTATTTGAAAGCTGGTGCTCCACATGTGGTCCCATATAAATTTGATCAAGGTCTGACCATTTCTTTCCAAAATATTTGAGTTATTCTTAATAATTTATATTGAAGTCTTTTAGTAATTTTAAATTATGTAAGATATGAGATGGAGTAGAGGAAGTGCGGACAGCAAAACAATTTCTATATTGGTTATTTGGTATTCTCGATCTACAGCTAGATAACCGAAAGGCTGGAGTAATTATACCTATGGATTAAAAATTAAAAATTTTGTACAACCATCTTAAATTCGTTACAACTCAAAAACTATTGGTCAGAACTAGATCAAATTTATATGGGACCACATGAGAAGCACCAGCTTACAAATACGTACATATAAAAAAGGAACATACTGTCGAATTGAGTACTTCCTTTTTGAATTCGGTAGAAAATTGACTGGATCATCATCTCGTTTTACCCTATTTCCTCCCACGAAACTAAATCAATTTTTTTTTCAAATAAGAAGAATTGTGGCTATGTCTGTGTTTTTCTTTTATTTTTCTTTATATTCGTTATACATACTTTGGTGATTTTTAGTTATTTTAGAAGGATTCCAGTTTTAGAAATATAAATAATTTATGGAAGATATAGTTTATTCGCTCGGATATCCTGTTAATAACGCTACTTTCACGACGCTGAAATAATGTGAATGATTATAAAAAAAAAAAACTTGTATTGAAAGGTGTGACAGTTTGTTTACCCTGATAAGGGAAAAAAAATATTATGTTCACGACGTTCAAGACCTAAGTTCGATAAAGTTGAACGCACAGCGCGCCGCAAGAATTTACTAATGACCTCGTTCACTTATCCGCAACGTAAAGTGCCGTACCTACGTGCCGAATTCGTATTTACTACGCGTTCATTTCGAGTTTGCCGTCGCCGACCGTTATGACGTAACAGCTGACGGTACTGTAGACAAAACTATTATTGTAAGTGTTTTAATTATTGTATGAAGTTCGATTTTTAGTTTGTTGTCCTGTACAGAGAAATGGAGGGCAAGCAAGTAGATAAAATGCATATTATTGAATAATTTATTTAGTTAGTAAAATAAAATAATAACACTGAATAGAAACGTGTCCGATAAAATAAAATATTTTTATTAAAGTTTTATTATATATTCTAAATAAATTATTTACGAAGACGCGAAAAAAAAACTAGCAGGTAATTATTTGTAATCCATAACTTCCATACCAGTTATTTTATCAAAACCGTTCGTCCCTGTATCACTGCCATCACTACATTCTGTGTTTATCACAAATTAACGAACGTAAAAAGTCAACCGAAACAAAAAATTAACAGTAACAAAAACAACAACAAAAACAGTAACAAACAAGAGATCGCACTAGAGACTAGAGCACAAACAGTAGATACATTTCAGCGTTGCTATCGGTACTATATGGGCGACGGTTGAGGCGCGGTATGAGGGAGCGCGGCGGGAGGTAACGGCATTCATGTAGTGAACACGTAGTAGAGTAGTATAATGTTTCTGTAAAACTCAAGACTGTTATCAAGTATTCCTTGCTTCATAGAGGAAGAAGATGAAATACAAAAAGAAAATTGTGGCTTCATAGAAAAACTCAACTCACTCTCCTGGGTTTGCACACACATCCGTGTGTGCAAACCCAGGATATTCACTGGCTACAGTGATCAAAATTGGGATTGGAGGACATTATTATTGTTATTGTTGCCTATCTACACATTTTTTTAGTTGGGATGAAATATAAAAAAAATTGCTTTTACCATTTTTAACAGAACTAAAATATAAATAGAAACTTTTTAAGTTAATAAAGATAAAAAAGAACACTTTACAATTATATATTAACACAATAACAAATAAATTAGAAATAGCTTGGTACCAATCTTACACCACCACTATCTAGTAGTGGATCACTACCCCATATCATCCTGTGGGTATCGTAAAAGGCGACAGAGAAACTACGGCAAATATCCCTCATATGAGGCAATGGGGGAGAACTTTGTAGGGATGATCGATGATCATCGATGTCAAAAATTAAAACATCGATGTTGCCACATGTCAAACATTGAAACATCAATGTCAATAAGCCCGTAATCGATTATTGGAAACTTGCAAACACTGCGAACTGGCGAAATCAATATGAAATAAAACTTAAATCTCCTCTAAAATATTAAAAATTTTTAATATATCCGAATTCCTGAACGCATCGATAATCTAAAACTAATCATTATGGTGTATCAAATTTAACTGTCAAGTGTCAACTGTAATGTCGCAGTTGTCACTGATTTTGCTTTGTTATTGGTGTTGTTGTTGGTTGTCTGTTTCTTTGTCAGTTGTTTTTAAAAAAATCCTATGGTTATACAAGATCCAATGCATGTTTCGAACAATGTTATTGATTCTACCAGTCTAAAATAAAAAAATAAACTTGCGTGAGATATTTGACCACAATCGCTACATCAACGCCATCTGAGCGGTTATCTACAGACTTCGAAAAGGAGGAGGTACTCAATTCGACTGTATGTTCTTTTTTAATCTGCGTTACCTCATAACTTTTTTCTGGGTGAAACGATATCGATGATTCTTTTTTTTTATTTGAAAGCTGGTGCTTGTCATGTGGTCCTATATAAATTTCATCAAAGTCTGATCAATAGTTTTTGAGTTATCCTTAATAATTTACATTGAAGTCAATTGTAGAAATTTTTTAATTTTAATTATTTTTAGAGAAACAGATTTAAAGGTACTTCTTTGTCAAAATTACTATTTCTTCAATCAATCGGCAAAAATATTACACTATATAACAAATGAACTAGATATTTGTGAACTTCTTTCAATTTTTTTTAATTACTGTTTTACACTACATTGTTTATTAATTTCTTTTATTTCATTAATTATAAACCATAAACAACATGACTTTTTTTATTAATCTAATTCTAACCTATTAAATACATGTGCAAAAAACATCGATGATGGCCAACATCGATGTTTTGAGTAGGATAAACATCGAACATCGATGTTGAGCTATCGATGCCAACATTGATGTCATCATTGATGTTTCTGCAACATCGATCATCCCTGGGACTTTGTTCCCTAGTAGACTTATAGGCTGTAATGGGAATGGTGGAAGCGATCATTCCCAGAGGATATTATCATCGATAAATTGTGGATTAACTAAATATGTAGTGTAGAACTTGTTTTTCTAAATTTATTTTACTTATGATAGCAGTTTAGGTAATAACTGTCTGTCTAAAATGGAATTCTGGTATAAAATTGTTCAAGTGTGGCAACTATGGTAAAATCCCCACGGCTTAGCTTTCTATTGATGTCCATTGAGTTGGAGGTTGATATTTTTTTTACAGAAAAGTTACATTATTATAAGCACACAGGCAAAGTTTCGACATGCAGAAACGCAACTTTTTTGAGAAGAAATTTATTGAAAATCAATTATTTTTGCAATATTTATGCGAATAATGTGAGTTTATACTTAAATAAAATAGTTGTCTTAAAAAGAAAACCTAAAACCAAAGTTTGGAAAAGATAATATGTTTACAATCAAATATAGAAACGACTACTCAGCTTGCCTCTGATTGATGTCTGTGATTTTTACATCACCTTGAAGCAAGCTTCAATATAACAAGTTCGTTATTCACAAAAGCGCGTACCATTCTTCAGAATATAATTACTGACCATGACGTAAGTTTTACTACCTACCTACATATAAATGAGAAAATACAAATGTTTCTTGAATAGGTATTATAACTTTCGAGCGACCGATACATATATTCTAATAAATAAATAAGATTTTATAGAAAAATGTGTCATAATTATATACGCCGTTTTACAGCAAACAACGTAGATGTAGTAATAGTACAACAAAAATCAATCTATGTTGGTATAAAAAACCGCAAGGTCATTTGCAGTTTATAAATCATTTGTACTGATAACCGAAGTAATAAGTTTATAACCAAATCAAAGGTTTTAATGTTACAAAAGTTAAAGTTTTACTTACGTGTACGCAAGATTCTTGAATAATTATCTAAAACCAGCGAAACACGCGGCGTAAGCCAAAATTCGGTGATAAGCCCAGTCCTTACAGCCACAGACTAATAATATGATTATGATGATGCATGGATGATGCTATTTATCTATGGTCTAAATCACAGAGTATATAATCAATACCTTTAAAGAAGCGGGACTTCCTTATTACCATAGGGCAATATGGGCCACCCTCGGATCAGAGGGGAGTACAATAAAACTAGTTACAGCTGCACTGTTCACTAGTGTTAAGAATGAGCGTTGATTCCACTCGTACAAGCAGTAGCAAAAAACTAGTTTGGGTCATTCAACGAGTCTCAATTATTATCGTCTGTTACGAGTGGATTTGAAATCATCGACACCTATATAATAAATTATTAAACATAAATGATTATTAAATATAGATATGTTTCAGATTTAATAAATTATAAAACCATAGAGTAACATAGGTAAAAATAATAAGATTAGTGGGTAGTTGTAACAGCGCTGTACACTATAAATTAAATTGCCAGAGGTATCTTAGTTCAGTTCAGTTCACTTCGGTCGTGTGCAAGCAAGTCGCTCTGCTAGTAGTTGTTATCATCTACATTAAGTATAATATAATTATTGTGATTCGTTATAAGGTGAATAAAAAGTGCTACAAGGTAATCTGTTTTACTTCATAGTTACTTATTTAAAACTTCAGAAGTGGGATCGTACTAACTATGTCCGGACCGTATATTGGAGGACTAGGAGAATGTAAGCGAAGATACGGCGACACTACAACATCAGAAGAAGATGAGGATATCGAAATTTTTTTTCAAAAAAAAAAAGAACTTCAATGCTCACCAAAAGACGTCGTGTGTCTCCGATAGACGCGGAAGTTATACCCAAATTCTGCCCAGACGACCAAACCAGTAACGTTACTGGATGGCTTCATAAAATTGACCAGTTGGGTGACATATACGGATGGAATTGCAAGGATCGCCAATTTATAATGCAGTTACGCCTTGCTGGATCTGCTCGGGAGTGGTATGATGACCTTGACGATTATGCTCTTACTTGGGACGGGTGGAAGGAAGCACTTCAAACTGCGTTTCCTCGATCTACCGACTACGTAGACAGACTAGAAACAATGCTGGCAAGGTCAAAAAGTGACTATGAGACTATGACTAAATATTATCATGAAAAGTTATCACTTCTCAAAAAATGCAACATTAATGGTGAACATGCAATCTCCTGCATTATTCGAGGTTTACCACATGAATTGAGAGCTAATGCTAAAGCCTACAATTGTGAAACGCCAGAACAACTTTACTTCGGTTATCTGTCATCGCTTGAAAACTTTAAACGCTCGGAGACGTCCGCGTTTACACCACGCAATTCTATCTGGAGGAAAAATACACAAATTACTTCGGGTCGCCGTCAACTTGTTCCCAAGATCTGCTATGTGTGTCGACGACCAGGACATGAAAGGAAGGACTGCCAGCAGCGCTGTGATGTGTGTCAGCGTCTAGGGCATGCAACTGCTGCATGCTGGTATGCTACTGGAACTGCAGCCAACTCTGGAGTTGGTCCCATGCAACAACAGGCTTATAAGGTTAGTGACGTATTACACGTTACGCTTAATAAATACCCACATATTTATAAAAAAAGAGTCATCGTCAATGGTATCAAATTGATGGCCTATATAGATACTGGAAGTAAGCTTAGCATACTTACTATTACACAAGCCCAAAAAATGAAACTTAAAACTCGGCCCTCAGTTATTGTAATGAAGGGTTTTGGAGGAGCCTGTTCATATTCGCTAGGTACTTGCCAAATTATTGTAAATGTTGATGATTTATTTTTGGTAGGAGATGTAGAGTTAACCGATTGCAAGCTACCAGATATAGACTTAATAATCGGACAATCAATGATAAATCAAGAAAATGTGAGCTTAGTTACTACGTCGAATCTCGTAAAATTTGTTCCAACCTTCACTTTAGGAGATGTCTTAACAAAAAACAGTTTTAACATAATTGAATATGTTTCAAAATTTCCAGTCTTTACAAAACTAGACGTCACTATACCTAGCCGAACCTATGCATACATTAGCGTAAGTGTCGACTGTGACAGTAATACTGACAAAAACGAGCACGCATTCCTAACACATGCAGTATGTTTTCAGCTAGGTGGGTTATCGTATTATATTCCAGAAGCCATTATTAATTCCAGTATGTCATATTTAAAGGTCCTAAATGTTGGGAATGAAACTATATCATGGCCTGCTAATAAACTCGTAGCTAGAGCAGAGATTTTAAAACAAAAAAATAATAGCTTTGAAACCAATACTCTTATTATAGACCAAGTCACCAATAAGTCCGAAATTAAATTGTCCGATATCGATGTGGGTGAGTTAAATCATAGGGAAATAAATGTATTGCTACAATTATTGAATAGGTATGCTCATTCATTTGCCAGAGATACGAAAGATTTAGGATGTACTAACTTAATTAAGTTACACATAAAAACTATTTCTAACCAACCTGTGTATCGTAAACCGTACAGAGTTTCGCATAAGGAAAATGAAATAATGAACGGCAAAATAAATGAACTCTTGGAAGCAGGGATTATAAGAAAATCCACATCGGAGTATGCTAGTCCTGTTGTCCTAGTCAAGAAAAAAGGAGGGGATTATAGACTTTGTGTCGATTATAGGGCGTTGAATGCTAATACTATAAAGGATCGATATCCCCTACCTCACATTGAAGACCAAGTTACCCGTCTATCGGGTAAATCCTATTTTACAACACTAGACCTCGCTCAGGGATACTACCAAGTACCAATTGATGATGAGTCCATAAGAAAAACCGCGTTTATCACCCAATCAGGCCTTTATGAGTTTTTAAAAATGCCTTTTGGATTATCCAATGCACCAGCTGTATTTGCGCGACTAATCCAAGTAACTTTAGGGGAAGTATCTCACGAAATAGCTCTATATTTAGATGATGTTATGATTCCAACTATTTCAGTAAAAAGGGGATTAGAACTTTTGGAACAAGTCTTGGGGTTACTTGAAAAAGCTAATCTAAAATTGAATTTAAAAAAGTGTTCATTTCTTAAAAATACCACTAATTATTTGGGCCATGAAATCTCTGCCGGTACAATACAGCCAGGTCGAGCTAAAATTAACTGCGTAGCTGAATATCGTCGGCCCCGAAATGTACACGAAGTCAGGCAGTTTATTGGATTAACGTCTTATTTTAGAAAATTTATAAGAAACTTTGCACAAATAGCACAACCCTTAACTGAACTCACTAAAAAGGATATAGAGTGGCATTGGGATTCCCAGCAGGAACAAGCATTTCGTACACTAAAGCAACGATTAATAGAAAGACCAGTTTTAGGCATATACGACAAGGATGCTAAAACAGAACTCCATACCGATTCAAGTAAACTCGGCTTAGGCGGGGTGCTCATCCAACACCAAAGAGATGGTAACTTAAAACCAATCGCATTTTTTAGTAGAGTCACGACGAATGAAGAAAGATGTTATCATAGCTATGAATTGGAGACTCTAGCTGTTGTAGAATCCCTTAAACGTTTTCGTATATACCTTACAGGCATACCCGTAAAGATAGTTACGGATTGTGCGGCTCTACGCACTACGTTAGTTAAAAAGGATTTGATTCCGCGTATAGCCCGATGGTGGCTAACTATCCAAGACTTTGACCTAGAAATAGAGTACCGGCCAGGCGAACGTATGAAGCATGTTGATGCCCTGAGTAGGAACCCATCCTCGAATTTTGTTCTCATGATTGATAACGATGATTGGTTAAAAACACTGCAAATGCAAGATGAAGGTATTCAAAATATTCTCGCACAATTCCGCGAACAAAGCATTAATCCAGACTTAATAGCTAACTATGTAGTTAAAGATAACCTGCTATTTAGAAAAACTATTGGTGGAGAGAGATTTGTTATTCCTAAATTGGCCAAATATGGGTTGTTGCAAAAACTTCACGATCAGATAGGGCATCCGGGTTTCGAAAAATGCGAGAAGACCATCCAAGCACAATTTTGGTTTCCGGGCATGACACGGTTCATACGTAAGTACATCAACGCTTGCTTACAATGCGCCTTCGGTAAGGGCAACCATGGCAAACTAGAGGGTGAACTACACCCGATAGAGAAAGCAGCTTGTCCCATGCATACCATACACGCAGATCATCTGGGTCCTTTCATAAAAACTCGTAAAGGTAATACTTATATTCTTGTCGTTATTGATGCATTTACCAAGTTTGTTTTCGCAAGGGCAGCTAAGAACTGCAGCTCCATAGAGACCATAAGGCTGCTGAAAGACATACTGTCCCAATTCGGTAATCCAAAAAGAATTATTACAGACAGAGGCAAGGCATTTACTAGCCGCTATTTTAAACTTTTCTCCATTGAGTTACAATTTAAACACATTTTAAATGCTATAGCATGCCCTCGTTCCAATGGTCTAGTGGAGCGTGTAAACCGTACTTTACTAAATGGCTTAAATACAATTTCTGACAGTGAATGTACATGGGATAACAAATTGTCAGATGTAGTCTGGGGAATTAATAATACCCCTAATTCTACTACGGGACATACACCTTTTAGTTTAATGTTTGGCCACGACAATTCACGTTTCCCATGTTTTCCTAAAGAATTTCCCCAAGATTATGATTCTCAACAACAAAACTTACAAACTAGAAGAAAAGATGCTAAATTTCGCATTGACAGGAATATGACCTTAATGAAAAGTAGATTTGATCGTAAGCACAAAAAATGCCGAAAGTATAAAATAGGAGATTTGGTTTTATGGAAAGGGGGTGTGTCTAGAGATACAACTGCTAAAGTCACCAAAAAGCTTAATAGTTCATACACAGGTCCATATAAAGTGTGTAGGGCCGAGCAATCACTCGATCGTTATAAAATAAGTAGTATTATGGGTATGAAAGGTTATAGAAGGTTCAGTGCCGTAGTCAGCGGTGAGAGTCTACGACCATATAAATCAACACTATCAGATGATGACAGTTCATCTAGCGACCGTGAAGTAGACAGGGATGATCTGATAGACCTCTTAGAAAGTTAAGCATGTCTACTGCCTTTGTTGGAAATGCGTGTATCTAATTAATTTCTAGAATAATATTAAAAGAAACCATTTATTATTTCTTAATTATTTTTGCCTTATTATTTAAAATTGAGTTGTTATAAATTGTTTTGTTATAAAGTTGTCAACTAAAATATTGTTTTAAATAAAACATATTGTTTAAGTCTGTTGGTTTAATTTGATATAATAACTCTAAATAAATATTTACAAAGCAGCTAAAGTACAGATATAGCTAAGTCTAACAATAATTAAAATAATAGGACAGCTATGTGAACAAGTCCATAACAAATAGAAGAAGGGACAGCTAGGTGAACAAGTCCATAATAGTTAAAAGTGTGGGACAGCTATGTGAACAAGTCCATAACAATTAAAAGAGGGACAGCTAGGTGAACAAGTCTATAATAATTAAGTGAGGGACAGCTATGTGAACAAGTCCATAACAATTAAAACAAGGGATAGCTAAGTGAACAAATCCATAATAGTTAAAAGTGAGGGACAGCTATGTGAACAAGTCCATAACAATTAAAATAAGGGATAGCTAAGTGAACAAGTCCATAATAGTTAAAACAAGGGGACAGCTAAGTGACCAAGTCCATAATAGAGTTTTAGGTCCCGGACAGCTAAGTGACCAAGTCCATAAAAGGTATAATACAAGGACAGCTAAATTAATAAACCCAGAATTGTTGAAACACTAGGATGGCTAAGTTAACCAGCCCCAGATGGCCAATGTACAAGAACTATTAGGTAAACAACTAGGTATATTAATAGTATAAACCTTTATTAATGACTTGTAATAAAACAAAATAAATCTCATCTACATGATTTCTTTTTGGAAATGGCACAATTTACTGCTCAATTTTCTTTTCTCCTTTCAGAGGCAAAATGGTGAATACAATGAGCGCCGCGGGACGCGTACGACTCAGGATGGCCGAATGTTACGAGTGGATTTGAAATCATCGACACCTATATAATAAATTATTAAACATAAATGATTATTAAATATAGATATGTTTCAGATTTAATAAATTATAAAACCATAGAGTAACATAGGTAAAAATAATAAGATTAGTGGGTAGTTGTAACAGCGCTGTACACTATAAATTAAATTGCCAGAGGTATCTTAGTTCAGTTCAGTTCACTTCGGTCGTGTGCAAGCAAGTCGCTCTGCTAGTAGTTGTTATCATCTACATTAAGTATAATATAATTATTGTGATTCGTTATAAGGTGAATAAAAAGTGCTACAAGGTAATCTGTTTTACTTCATAGTTACTTATTTAAAACGTCATTAAGTTCGTCGTGGTAATTTTTTTAGTACCAGCAAAGAAGGTGATGGTACAGTGAGGCCTATGTCGCATCATGATGGGACATGTTGCTGTTGGTTTGCATACATCATTTATTTAACACAGGCCGCTCGCCCTCATACAATATGCGTTTCTTTCGAGCGACTGATCTAAGTCTACGTCCGAGTTGTTACCACAGAACACTAATACCCTTAGGCGGGAAGAATGTCAACTTCAAACAAAGAAAATGGCATCCATAATGCACGCCATCTCTGTCGTGCCACCTAAAACTTTTTTGCGCGGGAATTTTGATTAGTAATTTTTTTTTAGTTGGCGTCTTGGTTGTTTCATTTCAAAAATGGCTTAAGAATGTAAAATACCATACAGATAGATATAGCTTGTATTTTTTCGTTTCAATGATATATATTGCTAAATTAAAACGAAAAGAAAAGCACAAAGTTATTTGAAAATTATGGTACTTTACATTCATAAACCACTTTTGAAACGATTAGCAATCATTTTAATATAAAAAGGAACTATTTTTCAAGTAAAAGTGGTTTTTGAAATACATAACTTTTATTTACATTACATACTTGTCCACATTGGTACATAGAAAA